CGTGACTTTACCGAAAGAACCAAGAATATAATTGCAGTAATTTAATTATGACTGCGTTTTTGCGTACAGACTGTTGTGCCTCCCCCGGACCTCCTCTTAGGGGCCGTCCATAAATGACGTCACGCGATTTTTGGACGATTTTTGTCCCACCCCGTCGTCACGTGGCGTCACAAAAAGTCAGACCCCCCTCAAATATGACGTCACAAAGCCCTGCCCCTCCACCCCCCCCAAAAAAAAACTTTCCTCAAATCGCTTTAAACTATTGTCATTGTAGTGCGTATTTAATGTGGCACTGAATTCGGATGTTGTAGGAGAAAACGTTTATTAAAAAGTCTATTTAATTCAGTAGAACGTGTTGTCTATATTTACATTTCTCAACCCCCCCCCCCCGCCCCCCCTCGTCACAAATCGTCACAAATGTCTTACCTCCCCCACCCCCCCAGGTGCGTGACGTCATTGATGGACGGCCCCTTAGCGCGGTTAGCCACCTACGGTGCTGCAACAATTCAACACACAAGCGAGCAGTGCAGTGACCAGGGGGGAGGGAGGGGGGGTCAGAAGTTTGGTCAACCGCTTCCCCGACGTGACGCGCTTCGTGTGGGGTCGTGGGGCCCTCGTCCAGCAGCGGGTTGACAAACCGGGCGGCGCACGTGCGCATGGCGAATCGCAACGCGTAACCCAGGCGCGTTTGAAATCGCGCTCGCTGCCGGCACTGTAATCCCCAATGTCCTGGAACGCCCGCTGCTATTTTGGACCCGTGATATGCTGACCGGGGGAGCCATCGGCGCTTCTGGAAAGAAGAAAGACAGGGTGGAGGAGGGGGGGATCGTCAACCGCCCCCCCGTAAGCGTTCATTCATTGCACGGTCCCACTTCACCGCTGCTTGTCAAACTGTTGTGTACGTTTGTTGGGGGGGGGTGCGGGGGGGGGTTAAGACGAATGTGAGTAAAGCAAAGGTCACGTACAGCTACAACCACATCCACGTGCATTGCCATGGAGCATTGTGAGTAGATCTATAGCAGCACTCCGTTCTGTCTCCCCACGTGCAAATATGGTTTAGTCCATCGGCATTTTGGCTTTCCAGACCAACGTGTTAAAGCAGCATTTGTGGCTTGGTTTGACAGAGCTGTTGGGCTTCGTAGCCCCTGCAGCTTTCCGTGATGTCTCAATACAGAGATTATTGTGACCCACTGGAGGTCTCAATTCAGAGAGTATTGTGACCCACTGGATGTCTCAATGCAGAGAGTATTGTGACCACTGGATGTCTCAATGCAGAGAGTATTGTGACTCACTAGAGGTCTCAATGCGGAGAGTATTGTGGCCCACTGGAGGTCTCAATACAGAGAGTAATGTGACTCACTAGAGGTCTCAATGCAGAAAGTATTGTGACTAATTGGAGGTCCCAATGCAGAGACTATAGCGACTCACAAGAGGCCTACCCCTCACGCACGCCATATCGATCACGTTTTTGTTGTTGTTCTTACAATAATCACCGCTCCAGTCCCTGCAGGTTGATATCCAGGGAAGGGGGACAGGATGGGTTCAGATATCATTCACCACTGATGTTAGGCGTGGCTGGAGATGGAACTCAGGTTGTCGGGACTATAGTACAGTCACCACTATCACCAAAAAAGGAGCGGATAGTGACACCATATTTGTCTCTCCACGTAAATAAAATGATTATTGTACATATCCCATCGGCTACACTGCCTTCTGTGAGTGCTTTTTATCATACACGGTTTCAAAATGCAGTGTCTTTGCAGCAGTCAGCCTTGCTTAAACCAATTCTAGTGAACTTCCAGTTGTTTACAGGCAAGGGCCATCTCTCTGCGGGATACGGGTCCAATTTCGACGCAAAATAATTTCATGCATAAGACTACATCATCAGTGTTGTGATATTATGCATAAGACTACATCATCATTAGTGTTGTGGTGGAGAGTATAAGCCACGACGCAAATATGTGCACAGCACTATGTTGAACTTCTTTCGCACCGTGCTTAGCCAACCGTGCTAATCGGAGGTGCACGCCTCTTTCCCATATCTCTATCTCCACATGAGATACGCTAAAAAAAATTATAACACAACCCATATGCTTTATAGGAGTGCATCATTTCAGCAGCGTAGGTCCAACACGAGAACAATCTGGACCGGTTTCCGGGTGTTCCGTGTTGCTTATATTCTGCACAAGGACGCCAGTGATTCGTTCATGTTATGTTTCAACAACTTAACAACACAAACTGTCGTCGTCGATTCGCACGCGCTTGTGTCACTGCTGTTGGACTAAAACCAGTGGGTTATTAACCTGGGGTGCGTGCACCCCCTGGAGGTACGAGATGCCCTTTCTGGGGGTGCGAGACATGGCCAGATTTTTGTTCGAAGGTAAATCATCGAAAACACTCATTGAGCACGGGCACGTAAGTACAACTGCTTTATATTCTTGGTTCTTTTGGTAAAGTCACGTAGAAGACAAATAAATAAATATAACTATTAAATTCTCACGACGTTTCGATTGCAACACAAGCAATCATTATCAGGTGTGAAAACCACAGCAATATTTTTTTTAAGTGGCGGTTTTTTCTTAACGTTAGCACCACGGGCAGCGACTAGCGGTTGTTCAGACGGACGAGTCCATATATGCTCGGAACGGAGGAGGGGGAGAGAAGGAGAATGAAATGCGGTCTGAAAGGTGTATTTTTATTATTTTATTGTTTCCCTTCTACGTGACTTTACCGAAAGAACCAAGAATATGAATCCTTGCAGTCACGAAAGATTTAAAACGAAAAGATACAACTACTTTGTCGCATGAAAGCTACTGGACTAAAACATATCGCCTGCTTGCACCACGACCTAACTATTTCTGGCGCCTATGGCTCTCATAATATTTGTACATCCATAATACAGGTTTGTTGGGTTAGATCGCGTAAATATATAAATGTCTCGTTAAACCCGCTACCACCCGACACTGCCAATTAGTAAGGTTTGTCACGTAAACAGAACATGCCAATTCGTTACTAGTACAGCAACACCGGTGTGTTGGAAAGCCAAGCCACAGCATTTACAATCTGAGGACGACGATTCGCCAGTACGTGACAAACCTTACTAGTTGGCTGTGTCCGGTGGTGGCGGGTTTAACGACACATTGATATATTTACGCGTTCTAACCCAAAAGAAAACCTGTATTATGGATTCTAGATTTAAAGCTTTCGTGACTGCTAGGATCCATACTCTTTGATTCTATTGGGTAAAGTCACGTAGGTAAAAAATAAAATAACAAAAATCACGACGTTTCGGCCACAACACAAGCGGCCTTCATCAGGTGAAGGGACAAGACTGTCTGGAGGACAGCGCTGGAGTGAAAAAAGCCACACTCAGATCACGACCTTTTTTTTCACTCCAGCGCTGTCCTCCAGACAGTCTCGTCCCTTCACCTGATGAAGGCCGCTTGTGTTGTGGCCGAAACGTCGTGATTTTTGTTATTTATTTTTTACCTACGTGACTTTACCCAATAGAACCAAAGAGTCTGTATTATGGATATTGGTTGCGAAAGTCTACGTGTGAATATTTGCACAGCTTTTTTTATTCGCACGCGTTTTGTTTCAGATCGTGAATAATCTTCGTTTTGTTCGTTGTGCAATCTAATGCAGCGTTCCTAAAGAGACCCCTGCTATTCGTTCTCTGCAATTCTGATGTTTGTTTTGTTACTGCTGCTGCACTCACGCACCACGGATCTCCCTTGTAAAATAGCCGGGCAACTGCCTAAACGGGACCATCATCCGCGTGACAAATAAAATCGACTTAATGCGTAGAGTTTCAAGCGATGCATCGGTGGGGCATGACTCGATTCCAGTTTCGGTGAATTTTCGAAAGATTCACACTTGTGGGCGTGGCTAAATGTCAAATACGGCTCCGCCCACCAACGTGTCGATTCCGAGAGCACGTGGCATGGATCATTATAACACGACCACTGATCATTAATTAAGGCGTTCGCTTACTAATTAAAAGTACCCTGTTGAACGATGATATGTGTTTAATTGGCCGATAAGAGGTGTTGTGGTACAAAAGTAGTTTAAGGTATTACAACTGTGGTCGTGTTATTTGAAAGTGCTGTTTGTTGCTAGCAGCTTGACGTTTTGGACCTTTGTGCCTGTGCTCAGCAACGGTGTTTAAAAAAAAATGTACGACTAAGCTCTCCCCACAATTAATAACGCCACGGGGAGGCCTTTATCCAGCAGTGGATTGACGAAACGTCCTGTGAAGAGCTCTGCGGGACCAGGGAGTAATTGTTCCAAAGGGACACACGGGTTTACGTAACTACATTAAAACAAAGATCCACATTCAGACCCATAGACTTACATGTACAAATGACCTTTACGACAAGGTAAGGGCCCACTTTGTAATAGCTCATTGAGCAAGGGATTTTTTTTTGTTCCCAAGTAAACCTGAATTTAATTAAGAACAGCAAAAACAGCAAGCAAAAATTCCAACGTGTCAACATAACGCAATACGATACCGTATTAGTATTGAGCGGGAAACACAATAGTTTCTCTGTTGATCGTAATTAGCTCATTGCTCTGCCTGCCGAGCGAGTCAGTGACCGGTTCGAACAGCTCATTTAAAGGGCCACTGCAATATATCTATATCAGGGGCCGTCCCTTCACCTGTTTAAAGGGACACCACCCAAGCAGCTGTCCCTTCACCTATTTAAAGGGACACCACCAAATCAGCTGTCCCTTCACCTGTTTAAAGGGACACCGCCCAATCAGCTTTCTCTTCAGCTGTTTAAAGGGACACCGCCCAATCAGCTGTCCCTTCACCTGTTTAAAGGGACACTGCAATGATGTCAGCGACCACACCCGGACGACCATCGTGCAGTAGGCGTGGCCACATGGAGATAGGCCACGCCCATTAGCACGTGTGGGGTGTAGGCGTGTCCTGGTCTCGTCTAGCCCCGCCCTCGTTAGCAAATATGGCCATTGGTGGGCGTAACCAAAGGTGACTGGCATCGCCCCTCAAGTGGGCGTGGTCTCAGCGGACCCGGAAGCGGCCGCCTTAAAGCGGCGTGGCGGCGCCCGCTCTGCCGCTGTTTACGCGCGCGCTGTTTCGGGTCTTTTTTTGTTACATTTTAATTTTTACAATTCAATATTTTGTACATTTTAACACCCCCCCCTTTTTGTACTTGTAATATACAGCGCACTGCAGGCACTGACGCACAGACGCAAGCGCGGTTCGTAATTGCATTAACACGTTATACCACTCTTCTCATTCACACGCTGGGATAGGCACACTGACAAAGATTACCCGTATAGCCTGCAATAGATAACTGGAGTCGAAGGGGGGCAAGTGCTGTGCATCAACTCAGACAGGCACGCACGCCACGCGTATGCGCGCGTCGCGACTAGGCGCTGCGCTTCGTGCTAAAAGAAAGCGGTGAAGCAGGCGGCTGCAGGGTTTGCAAGCCCTGCAGGTCCCAAGCCCGGAGCGTGGCTGTCTGGTAGTGGTGGTGGTGCTGTGTGTGTCGGCCGCGTCCGCTGGCGGCAATGGTGCTGGGCAAGGTGCGCTCGCTGCGCGTCGCCTTCGACTGCGAGCCGGGCCAGGCGCCCGTGTTCTCGGGCGGCGACGTGGTGGCGGGCCGCGTGCTGCTGGAGGCGGCGGGCGAGCTGCGGCTCCGCTCGCTCGTGCTGCAGGCGCGCGGCCACGCCAAGGTGCACTGGACCGAGTCTCGCAACGCGGGCTCCAACACGGCCTACACGCAGAACTACAGCGACGAGGTGGACTTCTTCAGCCACAGGGACGCCATCATCGAGCCCGATACCGGTGAGGGACGAGGTTGGTTTGGTGGTGGTTGTTGGTTTTCGGGGGGATGGGGTTTCGGTCGGTTGTGGTGGTCATGGTTTTGTTTTGCCACCGGTGAACCCCCATTGGGAAATTAATCCCCAGTTGTCGATGGGGGGGGGGACCTGGGTTGCACCGTAGAAACGTGGTTACAGCAGAGGGGGGGGGGGGGAACCCGTGAACAAAAAAAACAACCTAAACGCTTCTGTGCATGGTCACGTTCCGAGCGGCAAGGTCGTGCGTCAACATCATGATACAATCGGAACAAATAATACAACGAGGCTGGTGGAACGAATGACCTGCAGAACGTATTGGGTGCACAACCGCAACCGGTTGGTAGGGCAGTGGTTGGTTGAGGAGTCTGTAGTTAATGGGAGGGCTTGGGGAGAGGTGGTGAGGACTCTAGGCGTGGTGAGGTTCACGGTGATGGGTGAACTCTCTCGGGAGTGGTTGCCAGTCACGGCTGGTCAGAACTCGGTGATGTTGAGATACACGGTTGTGATGAGAATCTTTATACTGGAGGAATCCGATGAGCTATAGAGCTCTCATTTTTTTCACACAGACGTCCAGTGGTTAGTTACACTCGTGGTGGCGAGTAATTCTTGCGTGGGTGACAGCCGGTCCTCTGTGCGAACATTCCCCTCGTGTTGCTGTCCGTGGTCTCGCTGTGCACCGTCCCCGAGGTCCCCTTTTGTGCCTCTGCGGCTGTGGTTGGGCAGGGCGAGAGTGTGGAGGGATGGGGTGGTGGGGGGGTTGGCTCCGGGACCCCCCCCCCCTGCTCGTGCTGGTGTGGATTGAGGCTTTTAAGCAGGGAGTGTGTGGGGCTTATTTAGGCCACACAACAACAGCATGGAGCTTGGTGCCGCGTTGAAGCCTTCCCATTGTTACTCGCCTGCTGTGCATCTGTTTCCAATGGCCACTTCTCTCGGCTTACCCAACGTGTCTCATTTATGGCAAAGCAAAGTGGCACATTTTTTCTGGACCGGTTACCAACCTTGTGCATAAAATAATAAAGCATCTCGTAAACAACTGTCCCCCAACTGCAATTTCCCGGAAACATTTCCACGACTTCGCTCTGCATCTCCAAAAGCTCTTGAGTGGATTTTACAAAGAAAAACGTTACCTAAATCTCCGAAATGTTGCCTGTTCCTCCATGCGGCAATCACCCTCTGCTGATGTATGATCATTGCCCCTTAATATACAGGGAATGTATAAATAATGACTTTAAAACAACATCCCTGGTTCACAAAATACGTGCACTGCATAGTCACTTCCCTGTTTATTTGTGTGCACTGCATGACCGGGCCTAAGAATAATGTTTGTACATGTGACCAACAAGCCATAATCCCTGCTGGTACGAAAGTTAAAAGACAATAGCTTTGCAGCTGTTAACAGAAATATGAGCGGCTTTAATACTGACAATTCAGACTTGGCATTCTTAAAATTGTTATCCAGTGCCATATTTTCCCAGCCTAGTTTCCTTGTTTTGATTCCTAGCGAAATAATAGCACTGCGTTGTGTACCAATTCAGGCATGCCAGAGCGTACGCATGCCAAAGCAGGGGAGTTCACTCATTGCCTCATCCAATCGCATCGCTGCGTCGCCGAACGTCGAGTTCCACACATTGCAGTGCAAAGACAAATACAGAGATTCCCCGTAAAGCCTTAATAGACTGTTGGGGCAAGTGCTGTTAGCGAGGTACCTAATGAAGGCCGGAACGGCACACGAGGGGGTGGGTGGCCAGCACCACACCCGGCCGCCTTTGTCTCCCCAGTGGTGATGTTTACACACCTCACCAGGTACTCATTTGAGGCCGAGTCGACCTAGGGAAGGTCCAGGACCGGTTTAGATAATCGTCACCGGTGGTGGCCGTGAGCGGGAATCGAACTCGGGTCGCCGAGTTCGTAGCGTAGCGCTAACCGCTACACTACCGCTCCCGCATACACACACACACGTGTGTATGATGTAATATTTACGGTAATATTTTTCTAACAAATCTGTTCTTCCAAACTGTTTAAACAAAGCTCGCCCCCCTATCCCACTTGTGTAACAAGGACTGCGATGGGTGTTCACGAATTGTTTGGCCTTGCAAAGTCAACAAGGACATCATCACATGGCCAAGAGTTGCATGCCACTGCTGTTGGGTTGTACACAAGGCGGGGAGGAAGGGGGGGGATGATATTGCTTTCGAACACTGCCAGTGAAGCCTCCCTTGGAACCCGTGAACAGAAACACCAGAAAATAAAGGCAAGTCAAACGCGGACTTTTTGAGGTCACACTCTTAAGCAAAACTGTGGTCGGAGGCGCTGCAAAAATTTTGGTTTTTTGTTAGGATTGTTTTTTTGCAGTCTGCGTTAGCAACGTTGCTGGTGACGATTTATAACCACGTCATACGCGGTTACCTTAAGCGGTGTTCTGTGCGGTAAACGTTCTCGAGGCGATATTGAGTAAAGCCACTCATAATATTAGCAGCAATTCCGCATTGCTCTCCGGAAGTAGTAGAATACAACCTGCAGTGATGCATGACGGATATGATTGCGTTCTCCTGACACATCGCACTCGCCTCGTTGTTGAGTTGCTTTGCCTGCAGTGCAGGTGTGCCCTGTAAGTGCAATAAATAAAAAAACGTGCAGCAAGTTGGCACATTTGGGGGGGTTACAGCTGTTGCATCTACTCTGTGATCTCAGTCGGGAATCCCATGGCACCTGGGTCCGTCCCGAGACCTCCGGTCAGCGAGAGCCCCCTTCGACACTTCACGTGGCCTCAAAAGTGGTGCCTGTACTTCACGTGGTGGCCAATGGCGGGTATTGTTATTGCGGTAAATAAGGTTGCGTCGTGTTGCTTAGGAGAAAGGGAAAGTTTGACATGCCTCGAAACAATTATCACTTGAACCAAACAAAGCCTTCCTGAACCGAGTGTTCCCGACCGATCTGCTGTCGCCTAAACAAACGAAAGGCTACGTTTACTAACTTGCACAGCTAAACACGCACGGTTACAAATAGTTTTTTTTTACTTGGTAACTGCCCAATCCTCTCTATCTTGCATATTAATCTTACGCCGTGCCAAACGCCACTGCAATTCCCAATTCGGCTGGAACTTTGATCTGTGCAGGTCTGTCGGTGACGTTAAATAGGGGAAGTCAACATTGGAAAAAAAGAGCTTTAAAGCCCATCGGACTCCTCCAGTAATAATTATTCTGATTCTGGCTGCTCAGCCCAAATGTCGCTTCGTTCGTTGTCGCTAATGCATTGCTTGAAAATACCTCTGATGGGGGGGGGGGGGGGGGGGGGGGGGCATTTAAAAAAGTTATCAGAGAGCACGGTGGGGATACTACGTGGCGTGTGGTTGATGGTGGTGGTGGCCCTCGGGGATTCTTTCTGCATTCTGTATCTCCGAAGGGGAAAACCATATTGCCATAGCGATGGCATTCTACATGCGTGGCTGTACGAGATGTTTTTTTTTCGTTGTTGAAACTGTGGCTGAGTGTGGTGAGGGTACACGTAAATGAGTATCTGGTGCAGTGGTGTGTAAACATCGCCACTGGGGAGACAAAGGCGGCCGGGTTGTGGCGCTGGCCACCCACCCCCTCGTGTGTGGCGTGCCGGCCTTCAATAGGTGCTCGCTAACAGCAGTTAAGGCTATAGGGGGATCTATGTACACGATGGCAAACTCGCCTTTGTGTGTAACGTGTGTGTGTATATGGGGGGGAGCGGTGGTGTATCGGTTAGCGCTATGCTGCACTCGCAACCTGCCTACCCGAGTTCGATTCGCACTCACGGCCAACACCCAGCGACGAATATCTGAACCGGTCCTGGGCCGCCTCCCCCTAGGTCGACTCGGCCCCAAATGAATATTACCCCGTGCGATGTGCATAGTTAAACATCGGCCACTCGGGAGACAAAGGCGGCCGCGCGTGGTTGCTGTCCACCCGTGCCGGTCCCCCCCCCCCCCGCCGCCCTTTAATAGGCATGACTCGCTTCCTAAGCACTTGCCCCACTAGTATATCGAGGCTACACGGGGGATCTTTGCCTTTTGCTTGTGTGTGTGGGTTTGAGTCTGCCACGGAGCAGCTCAATCCTGTTCAAACCAGTCTCTGTTGCTGGGGCCCGCTGTGTGAGATAGTGCCCGCCCATTGGCTCGGCCTCCTCGTGACGTGAGCGCCAAGCGAGTGCGGACAAACAAGTGGAGGCGGCGGGGTGGGGGGGCTGCTGTGGTTGGTGGTGGTGGGTGGTGGTGGTTGGTGGGGGGGCTGCTGTGGTTGGTGGTGGGTGGTGGTGGTTGGTGGTGGCGGCACTGCACGCACAGCGGTAGCGCGGCGGGCCCAGATTAGCACCGTTGTTGGAAGTTCTTTATTATGGCTGCAAATAGGAAATGGCACATGCGTGCGGCAGGGCTGTTGTCTGTCGGGTGTGGTGCTGGTCACAGAGACCAAGATCCCCATAGCCCAGTAGCAGACTGTTGGGGCAAGTGCTGTTAGCGAGCACCTAATGAAGGCCGGAACTGTACACGAGCAGGATGGGCGGCCAGCACCACGCCCGGCCGCCTTTGTCTCCCCAGCGGCGATGTTTTCACACATCGCCCCGGCTACTCATTCGAGGCCGAGTCGAATTAGGGGAGGCCCATGACCGGTTCAGATAATCGGCACCTGGTGTTGGCCCACCCCTAGGTCGACTCGGCATAAAATGAGTACCTGGAGCGTTGTGTAATCATTGCCCTTGTTGAGACAAAGGCAGTCGGGCGTGGTGCTGCCCCCCTCCCCCACTCGTGTGCCCTTGCGGCCTTAATAGGTGCTCGCCAACAGCACTTGCCCCACAAGTTTGTTACGGCTGTATGGATGATCTTTGTGCGCTCCCTCCCCACACTCCCACTGCACAATTTAACGTACAAACAACGTGGTCGGCCACATAGGTTAATTCACGGCATGTATCATGATGTATTTGTGTGTGCCATGGTAGATGCAGGGCCCAGATGGCTGCTTCTTGCACAATACAGTAATACTGATGGAGCTCTGATATTGGTCTGGTTTGTTTTGAGCCTGAAATTTCTACTCCTGGGAAAATGCCCCTGCTCCGTTTCAAATTCATCCTTTTTCCTTCGTAAATGTCCAATCGTCTCCGAATTCGTTGATTTCATCTCGCCCAATTTTAGAAAAATAGTTATACAATAATTATCGGTTTTAATTGTTGGTGCTTAATTTGGTGTGGGGGGGGGGGTGTTGTTTGGTAGGTCTTGCCTGCCTGCCTTGCCTTAGTGGCCATTCCAGTGCCGAGCATCAGCTTTGACCTGCTGCGTCCTGTCGGAGGGAACCCCAAGTTGCAATCCCGTGTCTAATGCCTCATTTCTCAATGGCACAGTGTTGTTAGTGAGCTTGACGATTCCAACACCGTGTGCTTTACTTCCAAGGCTCCTGTGCTGAAGACGTCTTGTCTCGATGCCGGGTTCCCAGTTGGTTAAAGGTAGAAAAAAAATGTTCATTAATCTGTTATAGGTACGAGGTTAAGGACATTCTTAGATTGCATAATTAATTGAGTTGCACTGTAACGCGTGGCTTATATTCAACACCTTCCCACCCCAACACCTGTGAGCTTATTCTCACGTGTGATTAATGTGTGGTGGTGCAAAGCATTGATGTCAGCCTTGCGTTAGACCGGAGCAACTTCCACTGTCGAAATTAAGGCACCAATTTGCAGGGGTGGCTATAACGGGGTCGACCACGTGGCAAATTCCACTTGCATCCGCCGTATTCCAGCACCGATTACCACACTGATGTAAAACGAGGGTTTTTTTCCCGTGTGGATTATTGCATTGTGACTCCATCTTGACATTGCTACTGCTTGTTGGAGGCCGTCATCTCGCAGTGGATTGATCTTTGATGATTGATGATGATAAACTAAACTCGTTTTTTTTTACCAGGTAAGGCCCACTGAGCTATGTAGCTCTTTTACAGACTCGACCTGGCTTTCACAAATGATGGCCCAATGAGAAAGTGGCTTATCTCCTGGAAATTCATAGCAGCCAAATACTCAACGCATGTTTATAAAATGTGGAGGGGAAAAATCCCCGGGGAGAGCCTGCAAACTCCTAAATATACAGGCGTCAAGGTTAGGATCGAACCCCCACTCCCTCCTGTGTATACCAGGCGAGATGGTTAACGTCTCACCACCACGGCGCCCTGATATTTATCGGTGAGCGAAAGGTAAATTGCATCAAACGTCTGTCATGAAAGTGTCCACAGGTGTGTTCCACAACTTGCCTGCTGTTAATTCTGCTGAGCACAAATATTAACACTCGCAGATTGCTCAGCTTCTCAGCTGGTGACCGTTCAAGTTTATTTTTGTTTAAGCTCGAGGCCAAGGCTAGCCTGAACCCTCGCCCTCGCTAGTCGTGTCAGCGATGCAAGCGCGCACACTCCTGAACTTTTGTCAAATTAACACATGAGCAACACGCGCTAATTCTGCAGCCGCTAATTTTGCTGTCGTGCACCGTTCCCACCCCGCTTGTGTTTCGTGGCACGAATGCTTAATTTGTTAATGTTTTCAGTTCATCTTGACGTGTGTGTGTGTGTGGGTTTTTTTTAAATTGACCCCGTTGGCAAACCGAGTTAAGGCAAGGGCTATTCGCTGAACTGACACAAGCAGATTTCCTCCGCTAGGCCAATGGCTTCACCTTTTTATATGCCCAGGATTCATTCCGTTCTCGTGTAGTGCAATGCGATTTGCATCGAACGGCGATCCTCTCCTGCTTTCAATCTGTCATTTTTGTTGTTGTTGCTTGTTCCGCTCTTGCGCATCGCAGTTTAGCCATTAATTTAAAGCCACCACCATAAATTTCCCGTAAGATACAAACCATTATGACAAGTGCAGTAGGGGGGGGGGGGGCGGGGGCTGTGGTAATTTTCGTCTCCTTTTGGAACAGGATAAAGATTATAACGACGGTCAAGCGCCTAACAAAAGAGTTGGCTTTTTATTACAGAATGGCAGCAGTGTGTGTGTGGTTTTTTTTAACATTTCATGCTCCACGAATGCCCGAAGCAAATCCGTGCTGTTACTGCCGCCACCGCTGCTGCTGCTCTTCCCTCGAGTGCCAATGCAGAGGGGTGCGGTGGTGGCGTCACCGCATGGCATTACGCGCACGCTCCCTATGCAGGCAATTCCTTGGCTGTGTTGGATAAACCGCCTCGGACCGGTTACGACCGCTCTGTCCCACATCCAGCCGGCTAACAACACACAAAAAGAAGGGGGAGCAGCGGCTTCCATCAATAACCACCGCTCCGCTGAACGTTTTCTCCAAATGCTCGCGATCGACCGATGTACTCCCCAATTTTTTGTTTTTCACGCGACGAATCTTAACTATCGGCAGTTGCCCAATGGCGCACGGCAACTTGGACACAAAAACGTGAGGTCATCGCCACGGAATATTGCGAAAAGGAGCACGGTTGTTTTTATTGTTGCGTGGAAAACTGATATGCGCGAACAGAAGCGGAACATATTAGGCAATTATCTCTGGATATTTTTAAACGCAATGTGGTTATTGTTCATTGCCATCCGCGCGAGCGCAACGTTGTGCTGCTACACGGGGCAGCGGTGTGGAATGAGGAGGGGCAAATTTGGTATATTTATTCTTGATGTATTTGTAATGCATATTGGTACTGCAAATTGTCAAACCTTGGTATGGACTAGCATCACCCCCCCCCCCACTCCTGTCTACCAAGCAGTATAAATTTATACACAGCTAGTCAATCCGCATATTGCATGTGGTGGGGTAAAAAGAGTGGGTATTCCACCCCGACCAGATGTTCAGACCAGATGGTCTGAACAGCATGGAAGATTACACCAAATACTCTCTAAGGGGTTGTCTAGACCTCCCTGTTAGTAGAGGCTCTTCAGACAACAGGCATGTGCAAGCAATTGCAGGGCTGCACCTTGGCTTTATTTCAAGGTTAAAAATTGAGTATTCTCATCCAGTGATTTGTCTCGTGTCATGTCGAGACTTTCGTGGAGCGGCAAGAGTTCTATTTGTGGTTCGACAAGTCTGCTGCCGTGCATCAGTGACTAAATAGCATGTGGCTTGGTGGTCAGCCAAACCATCTTTTGATGTGCAAAGCCACTCATTGCACTACTTGCAGCTAAATATGCGGACACACCTTTAGAGAAGTGACTCGGTGTAACTGGTATTGGCCAAGCATCCCAATGCTGAAAACTTACCTGCAAAAATTCCTCAATTTGGGATTAACAGCAACCATTGGACCCGACCACAAATACTTGGCAGAACCCTCCCGAAAGTATTGGGACCCAGTGAGGCTTGCCTGGTTAAACAAGTGGAATAATAGCAATAAAAATGTCATTGCTCAAATTCAGAACAACTAAGGGTTTTAGATAAATTTTTCAATACCATGAAATTTGGTGATATTTTGATTCTTCAAAAGCTCCGTATCTATGCAATAATTTGGAGGGAAATGATTTTGCAATACGGCAACACGTGAGCACTTAGACTCAGCCTGCACATCCATGTTGTGGTGAACAACAATCTTTATTTATAGAGCGTCTGAGAGCAAACGCATCTCGATAGGCTTTACAAAACCGAAAAGGACACTTCGTTAAGGAGGGTATAAGGCGTTGTTTGGATTGTGTCGGGACGGAAATGGAGGGAGAGGAGAGTGAGATAACAACACTGAGGCACTTTCTGTAGGTGGGGGGTTGCTGCCAGGGCCCAGCACCAACAACAGCAAGTCCCAGGGACAGCGAGGGTAGCACCATTGAGTCCCTTGTAGCTTTTGTGGGCCAAAGGTTCTTCACCAGTGGGTCCTAGGGCATCTTTTTGGGTGGGGGGGGGGTACATTTATAACCACCGAGTCTCTACATGCTTACACAAACTGGCATCCGGTCCGTCCTTGCATACCATCTAGACCACTGCCGTGCTCACAATGCCCAGCGGTTTGCGTGTGGGTTTGCGAATGCCATCGATCACATTGGGATCTCCCTCCATTGCGGGAGAATAGTCGCGTGCAAGTCGTCCTTGACGTTGGGAGTGGTTGTTCCAGAGCTTATAACCGCGTTGCGTTTCTTTCTTGGCAGAAACGGCGGTGGAAAACCGTGAAGAAGCAACCACCGTCTTGCAGGCTGGAAAACACGAGTTTGCCTTCAGCTTCCAGCTGCCTCAGGGGTACGTTAACTGTCCCATCTTGCCGACTGCCGTGTAACATCCCCCAGAATTTGGCACCACTGTGGCAAGATGTTAACTCCCTACAGGATGTTGTGGGTTCGATCTCGACCTTGACGGCTGTATATTTGGAGTTTGCGTGTTCTCCCCATGGTCCAGTTTCTCCCCACATTTAGAATCGATATGCCTTCAGAGTATTTGGCTGCAATGGAATTCCACATGGGGATAAGCCACTTTGTTGAGCTATAATGTGTGCTAGCCAGGTCGCTTCTGAAACAGAGCTACATAGCTCAGTGGGCCTTAACTGGTAAAATAAAAATATAGTTCAGTATTTTGGGTATCCAGCCGATGTGTACGATTTCTATGAATTACTTCCTGCGGTGGTGAAGACTTGATCGGCAGTTTATCTGTTCATCTCGAGGCTGGTGGGTGAGCCGGTGAGAACAACTGCAGAACTCGTAACCTGGTGATGGTCTGAGATGTTGCTGCTGATCATAGTAGGCAGCAGTGTGACTATGTGGTGCATGTGTTGGAAATCAAATTTATTTACTCTGGAGAAGCCTGATGAGCTATAAAGCTTTTTCACATGTCCAGGTAGTAGAAATGCATTGCGATTTTGTATGGTTGGCCACGTACGGTGCGGAAGAAATTCACCATACATCGAGATTTTGTACACTCGCTTAGAAGCCCATAGACTATCAAATATTTATCTATTCACAACTTGCTTTGCACGGCAGGGAGTTGGTCAGGAGTTTTCGTTCAATTCTCTTGTCGGTGAGTTGAGCCGTTGGACGCCATCGGGCATTAGTAGCCTCGTGGTGAATGTCTGAGATTCTGCCGGCAAATGATTTCAAGCGGCAAGCGGTAGCGTGCGATTTGGTGGCCACTGTCACACTGTGCTATTCTTAACCGCCCCATTGCGTTAGGGGACGGCTGCAATTTGTACGGATGGTATGTATTTTCTCAACCAACCTTTAGTGATTGAAATGTTTCGTACAGTCATGTTTGTTACAAATTGGGATTATCCAGCTCTTGTTTAACCTTAATATGTTAAACGGAGGGTCCAATTTGGAAAAAGAGACGCATGTTTTCATAATGGGCTCAAGACTAATGATAGTTTACAGGCATTTTTTCCTATCCCCTGCCAGATAGACAAAGGCCTCCACATCATGTTGGTAATGGGGGTTGTTCATCATATTTTACCTTTTCCTGTCAGTGCGAGGGTTGGTGAAGGGAGGCCCTCTGGACCAGTTCAAACGCCACTTGCCACTGATATTAGCAGTTGCCCTGAATCAAACTTAGGTTGCTGGGTTTCAAGTGCGGTACATGGACCACTGTGCTACTTATCGATATCAACCTCCCTGTATATGACAGGTGTTTTGGTACTTCTGAAGAGAGATGCATACAGGATTTGTTCTCGGTTAAAAAAATTATCCCATGAGAAAAAGTTTGGAATAGGTGGATTAATCTGAGTGTGAGTCACTCAGTTGGTCATTGAACGCAGAGGATTACTGAAGAAACAAATCAACATTTAATTTCTGAAGTCGTCGCCCCCGCATGCACCAGTGTGACTCAACGCACTCCACCCACCCTTAGTCACTTTGTGTGCGCGCGTGCCAAACGTGGCGCTAATGAGACGTAATGTTTTGCTCTCTGTCCGTCGCGTTCTGCTGCGCACGCAGACCTCTTGCTACCTCCTTCGAAGGCAAATACGGATTTGTCCGCTACTGGGTCAAAGTGGAACTTCACCGCCCGTGGACCCTCGTGCAGAAAGCCAAGTCGGAGTTCACGGTCATCGAGCAGGTCGACATCAACACTCCGGACCTGCTGGTGAGTCGCTCTCCGTGGCTGCCTCCTCCCAAATCGGTGCTCCCTTCTCTCTTTCTCACGCGGTTCAGCTCTCGATTGTCCCCCCCCCACATCCTGTGCAGACTCCCCTGGCTTTTATACTGCGCGAACACACGCCATCTACGTCGCAGTCGACGTCGGGAGATCCGCTGATGTCGTTATTCGAGAATAGCATGCGCAGCGTAATGGCCAGTGTCTAGGTTCCAATTTTTTTAATTGCCCTGCAAATTGGTTAATTGGATGAAAACCCACATTGCTGCGTCGCCCCCGTCGCTATATCTCAGTGAAACATACGTATGTCGACCTTTGCACCGTGCGGAGCCAACCGTGCTAATCGGAGGTGCGGGGAAAGGACCACAAACTAAATGCAAGAAGCAGTTTGAAAGAAATGTTTCAATCTAGATTTAAAGGCGCATAGCTCCAATGGCTTCCTAACAGTGGATGGAAGCGCATTCCAGACGGCCGCAGAACCGCATCTGAAAGCACGCGATGCGGTGACTGTCAGTCACTTCCTTGTCACTCGTAGCTACCACCGTTCTAGTTAGCTCTTCTGATTTTAACACTGTTGGCTTGTGCTGTCAGGATGAACCACGTGCTAGATAATTATTATTGCTGCTTCTGTCCACGCTGCTTATCGAACATGCTTCGTGTGAAAATAGGAAAATATAAATACGAAATGTAATTCCACACTCGTTGGCGCCTTCTATCGCGCGCGTGCCTGGCAACGTTAGCTGCCCCTCACTCGTAACAACGTGCCCGATTTTACCTTAAGACGGACGACACATTCAAAGACTTCACGTAGGTAAACGATAAATAGCTTTTTTATCGCTCAATTCGTAGCTGTGTGGTGTGTTCTTTTTATCTGAGCCCCACCCCTCTCGCACCATTGCCACGGTCAATCGAGAGTTGATGGTACAAATATTACGTCGTGTGTTTCTGCCCTATTGACTTTTTGTTTTATTGCGCAAGAGAAAAAGGGATTCATATTCTTGGTTCTTTCGGTAAAGTCACGTAGAAGGGAAACAATAAAATAATAAAAATATAAAACAATAAAATTCTCACGACGTTTCGACTGCAACAAAAGCAATCATCATCAGGTGTGAAAACCACACAACAGAACATTTTCAAACCACAACAAGAAAATTTTCAAATTTTCTTGTTGTGGTTTTCACACCTGATGATGATTGCTTTTGTTGCAGTCGAAACGTCGTGATAATTTTATTGTTTTATATTTTTATTATTTTATTGTTTCCTTTCTACGTGACTTTACCGAAAGAACCAAGAATATGATTTGCTGCAGTCACGAAAGCTTTAAATCAGAAAAAGGAATGTTTTGGAATGGAAATAATGTCAAGAAAGTTGCGACTGCAGACCGTGACCCTCTTTGCTGTGATCGAAACTTCTTGTTGATTTTAAGATACGCAGGGTGACCCATTCATAGATACCCCGCTAAAATAATATGGGAAAACGAGAGAATACTTAAAGTAACTTTGCAATGTCTGTAATCAATCTTCATAGACTCTTAGATTATTTCACACACTCCCCTGTGAGATATGGAGCCATTGCTTTCACAATATTTGGTCGCCCGTTGTGAAGACCTAGGCTATTGGAGGCCAGCGGGGTATCTGTACATGGCTCGTTCCGTGCATTCAGCTGTGCCCCCAACTTGTTGTCATGGAGTTCATATTCTCCCAGCTGTGCTGCGGTGGCGATGTTATCTCCCTCGCCTGGTATGCAGGACATCATGGGTTCGATCCCGACCCTGACGACGCCTGTATATTTGGAGTTTGCATGTTCTCTCTCCCTGTGGTCTTGTGGATTTTTCTCCTGGTCAACTGGTTTTTTTCCTTCCACCATTTAGAAACGTGTGTTTTTTTTAGAGTTTGGCTGCTATAAATTTCCACGTTTTAAGCATGTTGAACTTCTTTCGCACGGTACATGGCCAACCGTACTAATCGGAGGTGCGCGGGAAGGATGACAAACTGAACGCACAAAAAAGCAGTTCGAAAGAAATGTGCTTTTCAATCCGAGCTTTCATTTGTGGTCGGGTCACTTCTGAAAAAGAGGTGTGTAGCTCGGTAGGCCTTTCCTGGTCACATAAAAAATAGTTGAGCGGTGTCCGCGGACGAGCAGTAAGCGGCAACCGCAACGACGTACCTTGTCCGACCCACGAGCGCTCATTGGTGCAGTTTTGTTTCCTTTACTTAAAACATATATATGCCCTCTTGCGTCATCAATTGTGTCCTGTTTGGTCTCGTGCTGTGACAATGACTGGTCCCGATGGTTTTACAACGACCGGCTTTTAAAAATAAAGGGGTTTCTGGTTGCTCTTGCAGATGGCAAGGCGCTATAAACCCCCCCTTCCCTGGCCGGCGCCCTCCCCCCCTCCCCCCTCCCCGTGGCTGTGTTGTGTCTCAGTCTCCTGCGGGCGGCACCAAGGAAAAGACTCTGTGCTGCTGGCTCTGCACCTCAGGACCCATCTCGCTCTCTGCCAAAATCCAGCGCAAGGGGTACTGCCCCGGTGAGTGGACCGAGCCGTGTGTGGGTTTGTTCCCCCCACCCCCCCCCCCCACCGCGTTTTTGAAAGGCGGGATAGCAATCGATGAAGGTTGAATTTCCTGCCTGCCCGCCGGCCCCCGAAACGCTTCACGTTACGGACAGCGGATATTAGAAAAGAAGGAAGCGACGCAGATGGCCCTCTTGTGAGCCAGAGTTTTATATTGGATTTGTGAAGGTAGCGTTACTCGAGCATTCCGATTAGCTTTTGGGGTCGTGAAACATCCGAGGTAAGCGGCACGATTCGCAGAGTTCAATCTGAAGCGGTCATGGGCACCATGCTCCAATCGGAGTGCTTATCTGAATCCAATTCTCCAACGTGCATGTGACGTCATGTGTGTTTGTATGTTGAACATCTTTCGCGCACCATACGTAGCCAACTGTGCTAATCGGAAGTGCGGGGTCATGTGGCTTTTTTATAGGCCGCAAAGTGACATCCTGAGCCGTTTTGACGAGAGCGGTGAACGCTCAAGGGCCCGGGTTTAATTTGGTTTCATTTTCCGGTATTTACATTATAATGTTTGTAATTTTTCTAAGCAATTTGGTACACATTGAATCGAACGGAATGTTAACCAGTGGGTCTTCACAGACTGCTTGCACAATGCGATGTATACAAGGGTACAATGTGAGCAGCGGCACAAATGCAACACGAGCCGTTGTACTGTACAATGCGCCCTGCCGTCACGAACCCGCGACCTTGGTGTGGCGAGCTCCTCATCCAGCAGTGGATTGACAACAAGTGCTGGATATGTATGCGATAGCTGTTTTTTTTACTTTATCCCGGTTGCTAAGCACGCTCCACAAGGCTGAAAATGCCAAATGGACAGGGGCAAACAGCACTCGCGAAGGTGTAATAGATAAGCGTTGTGCAAGGTTATAATAAGAACTTGGGGAGGGAATCCAAAAGCGGAGCAGTGCGAGGGAAGAGGCAAAAATGAAAGGGTGTCCCTCTGCAGTGAATCGGAATATTTCTGCTGGAGGAATCCGATGCACTGTGAAGCTCTTTTTTCACATCTGTCCAATAGAGGCAGGTCAGTCGAGTAGGTGGCAGGTCGGTATTGTGAGCGGACACGATGGATAAGATGAAGCGGGTCAGTCTGGTATGGAGTCCTTGCCATGGGTGGGGGAGAATCGGCCAAACGTGGTCGTAGCGGCAGAACCCCGCACCTCCGATTAGCACTGTTGGCTACGTACGGTGCGAAAAGTTCAACGTCCTTGCATGCGTCAAAGGAGATGACTGTCAAAGGAGATGACTGTTTGCAGTGGAGTCGTGCAGCGTCTCAACGCGGCTGCTCGTGGGCGTGCGCTTTTTTTTTTGTGCTTTTGCAGGCGAATCGGTGCCCATCAACGCGGAGATCGAGAACTGCTCCTCCCGCCTGGTGGTGCCCAAAGCCGCCCTCTACCAGACGCAGACCTTCTGCGCCAAGGGAAAGCAGAAGGTGGTGCGCCAGCTTGTGTCCAACCTGCGGGGCGACTCCGTGTCCCCGGGGATGGCGGAGGCGTGGAACAGCAAGCTGCTCAAAATCCCGCCCATCTCGCCGTCCATTCTCGAGTGCGCTCTCATCCGCGTCACCTACGAGCTGCTGGTGCGTCCCCCCCACCCCGCAGCTTTAATGAATCCGGCGTCTGTGGCGTATTCGGGAATGCGGCTGGTGGTTTTTCTAACCGGTGGCTGACGCGCATGCTCGCGGCCAGGTGTGTGTGCGCACGAGGGGAGCGGTAGTGTAGCGGTTTGCGCACTGCGCTACAAACCCGTCGAGCCGCGTTTCAAGTAGAGGTCGTTTCGTGTAACTCGATACGTCCGCTCGAATAGACTCGTTTGTGCGATGGGCAGTGTGTGGGTAGCGGTTAGTGCGCTGTGCTACAAACCCGGCAACCCCGAGTTCGAGTCCCGTTCATGGCCACCAACACTGACGATTATCTGAATCCGTCCTGGGCCTCCCTTAGGTTGACTTAGCTACAATTGAGATCCTGGTGCGTCATGTCTGAACATCGCCACTGGCAAGGCGTGGTGTTGCCCACCCCCCACCCCCTTGTGTGCTGTGCCAGCCTTAATAGGCACTCGCTAACAGCACTTGCCCCAACAGTCTGCTAAGAATTTGCATCTTTTCCCTGTGGTCGTGTGGATTTTTCTCCGGGTCCTCCTCCATTTTAGAATCAACATGTGTTTTAGAGTATTTGGCTGCTATAAATTTCCACTTGCTAAGCCACAACGTTGAGTTTTTTGTGGCCAGGTCTCTTCTGAAAAAGAGCTATATAGCTCTGGGCCTTACCTGGTAAAACAAAAGTCGTGAGGCTATACGGGAGATCTTTGTCTTGTGTCCCGACGCAGATTTACGTGGACATCCCCGGCGCGCTGCAGCTGAGCCTTAGCCTGCCGCTGGTGATCGGCACCGTCCCACTGCACGCCTTTGGCAGCCGCACCTCCAGCATCAGCAGCCAGTGCAGCCTCGACCTGCAGTGGTTGCGCCTGGCGCTGCCCGACTCACCCGAAGGTAAAAGGGTCGCTTCACGCGCACCGTAAGGCCGGCAGGAATGGCGCAGCCGTGCCGTGGACGTTGGCTGGAATCTCGCCGTCGGTGTGTGTTGCCGTTAAGGGGTTGGGTTGCCTAAATACAAAAATTATCGTGTATTTCTAGATTTGAATCTTTCGTAACTGCAAGCATTCATACTCTTTGGTTTTTTTCCGGTAAAGTCACGTAGGTAAAATAAAAAATAAATGAAAACAACTAAATTAAATCGCGTCACAGTAGCATTGCTGTACAGCAATTCTGCTGTGACGGTTTCCACCTGAAGACGGAAGCTTGTGTTGCCTCCAAAACGTCGTGATTTATTTTAGTTGTTTTCATTTTTTTATTTTACCTACGTGACTTTACCGAAAAAACCAAAGGAAAGCGTATATTTGTTTAACCTATTTCGCACCGTACGTAGTCACCCGTGCTTATCGGAGGTGCAGAGGAAGTACAGCAAACTAAGCACAAAAAGCAGTTATAAAGAAATTATTTTTCAGGCCGCAGGCCTGGTCACCGTGTACCTGGATTTAAAGGAGGGTGGGTGGCGGTGGAGGGTTTGGAAGAGTGGGCTCGCACTCACATTATTTTTTAGATGTCTCGTCGTTTTCGTGTTTCGACGATTTTACAACGAGTTTCTGTTGCCGGTGGGAAGCTTGCGCTAAGAGACGGGTGAGAACCGCGTGGTCTTTCCCCCCCCCCCCCGCGCACAGAGCCACCACTGTATGCGGACGTGGTGAGCGAGGAGCAGCGTCAGAGGAGTCTTCCGCCGTCTCGGCCTCGGGACGAGTTCGAGGGCGCCCTCGCGCGCCCCGTCTACGCCTATGTGCAGGAGTTCCGCTACCAGCCTCCGCCACTCTACTCCGAGGTGCGTCTATCCTTGGGGGACTTGTTGTGCACCATCCGTGGGTTTTTCTCATCGTGGATTTTGGTGCGGGGGGCAGTCTTGAAGTTGTTTTACAGTGAAAAATATTTCCCTTTGGACACAGCTGTAAGCACCAGATAAAGGAGGCCTTGGTGTATAATTCTCGAAATGTGTGTGCATACACAGCCCGCATTTTCTGTACCTTGTCCATCCGTCGTCGTTTGGTGGCTGACGAGACTGGACGAACTGTAGACGGGGGACCATGCCGCCAGCCTGATTGCTATTGACGCTCGTAGAGGGCACATGGGGGGTGGGGTGGGGGGGTTAGGGGGTGGTGTCAGCCAGATCCCCGGGAGAGTTCCTGGAATATTGTGTTTTCCATACCCTCTCAGTTTGAGCACAGCCCGCGCCACGACACCAACACCCTTCTGTGTCGATTGGTTACAGCTTCATAAGTGTCTTCCCCCCCCCCCCCCACTGCCTTGCACTGCACATAATACCATGGGTGGACCTGGTATGGACAGCATTGCAAAGATTATGCCTAGCGTAGTACTACGACCACGTAGGTTTTCAGCTGGAGTGTGTGCCACACAGCTGCCCGGGTTGGACCGTGTCTTTTGTGTTTGGCACGATGGTCTAAAGTGCTGCTCCGTGTCCTGGGAGCGTCAACACGATCACGATGTGTTGGAACCAGCTCGGGCATGGATGGTCGAGGTTGTGTGTGTGTGTGTGGTTTTTTTTTTAATACAACCACAGTGTTTAAACTCAATCTGCCCCACTCCGTTCGTCCTTTTCCCCCAGCTCGATCCTCACCCATCGGAAACCAGCGAAAGGATCCCCTCGCACTGAACCTCGGAGACAACGCGACCGTCCGACCCGGTAAAACCGACGGGAGGAGCTGCACCCCCCACCCCCTCCCCGCGGCTCTGCAAGGTGCCGCGGAGAACACCGCGGCCGCCGCCGTCGTCACGACGAGGTTGGCGGCGACCGATTTGCGCCCCCTCCCCACCCCGACCGGGGTGGCCGTCGTGCTGCTGCTGCTGCTGCTACGTGGCGGACACAGCGGCGAAGACTGCGAGACTGGAAGTACCAAAGCACAGCAAAAAAAAAAACGAAAGCGAGAGACGCGGACTCGCGGAGCACTTGCGCGCCGGTACCATTCTTCTTCGGAGAGAGAGAGAGAGAGAGAAACCTGACCCCCCCGCTTCAGAAAGAGAACGGTTTTATATGAACATGGACGGGATTGTGTGTGCGTAGCGCTGGGACGAGGACACTTTTGGGGGGAAGGGGGTGGGGGGGAGGGGTTTTCCCCCACGCAAGAGTGAAGAATGGTGCTGAAGAAATAAAAAAAACGAAGCTTACTTTTAGATGTAAGTATTACTTATCTGTGGTTTACATGCTGTGTTGCCTCTGTTCACATGGAAAACACATTTGACGTCATTATCATCGTCACCGACCCTGCGTTGGTTTCTCTCATGGGCACGGCCTAGCGCTAAAGTAAAGTATGTTTGTTTGGTTAAAGCTTACTTTTGCCAACAAAAACACTCAGGTAATGCAGCTATGCGATTTGTTATTTCTGTTTGTCTATTGCGAGTTCCTGTGTGCACACGCGCTTGTTCAAAGTTTTGTATTATTATTATTTCCCTTTTGCAACTCGTTCATATGAATTCTGCATGTTCGATCACACTAAATATGAATGTACGGTTTTTTTGGGGAACAAACTTCTTAATGATTTTTAAAAAAAATTCACGTGGAGGGGTAAAAAAATCATTACAAACGTTGAGTTAAAACAAAGAAGAAAAACTCATTCGAAGTGAAGATTTGACGTGGGGGTTTAATTTTTCCATGTGACTTGGAAGGCCCATTTCATTCCATGCCCTCGGTCCGAATGTAAACCCACAGATGTTCCTTGTGCAATAATTGCTTTCGAGTGACGGGGAGTTCCGTCTTTTGAATTCCTATCCACGTCTAATACAGGGCATTTGTATCGTTTTCATGATATAACAAAATTTAAAGCATCGTTTGTGGAGGAAACGCTAGCACCCTGGTTGTGTGTGCGGGCGTGTGTTTTTTGTTGTGTTGGAACAGTTTTTAAACGTAGGAAGTTGCTTGTACATTGTGAGTTGGATAATTGTAGCGAATCTTTTTTTTGTACCGGAGTCTTGTGTTCACTTTATTTAGAGGCGTGTATTGGAATGCGTTCTAGAGCTATTACACACCATATACAATCACTGCTTGCTCTTCCTATGTAATCTGTATCCCCGTTTTTTTTGACGGACATCAATCGTAGCACTTTTTTTTCGGGGAGGGGTGGATCCGGGGGTCGTTTGGTTCGTTTAATGTTACATTGTGAATGGGGGGGTGGGGGGGTGGGGGGGTTCAGCTGCAAGGTTTTTTTAAACGAATAAAAGCAAAAGTTAAAAAGCTAAAAAGTATTTGTTGGTGTGGCGTTGCCACTCGTTGTCGCCTGCATGCCGCGTGCCGTGCCGGCAGCTGGTCAGGCCGCCCCCCCCCCCCCCCCTCCGCTGGAACACTCCAGCCAGCCGTGTTGCGTTACTTCCCCCAGCCCCTCCCGCTGTTACGAGGGACACATAAGTCTCTCGGTCTCTTGTGTTGGTTGGAAACCCCTTTTACGATGCGGTTTGCGCCTTCCCTTTGCCAAATAAATCAAAGCAAAATGAACTCTTGTGTTAGTCCGCTTGTTCCCATGCACTCTTGGCCACGTGTGTGCGCGCGTGTACGAGGAATGGTCTCTCTGTAGTCGTGGGGACCGTGAATTCTAAAGCGTTCCCAGTGAGGTTTTTTGTTTAGAGAGACCCGCTTCCCATCCAGGTAGTTGGATGCGCAGCAGATCTTCGCATCTGTTGGGAAGGGGGGGGGGCGGGGGACCTGCTCCTCACCAATTGACAGTAAAGGAAAAAAAAAGAAAAATCCTCGGCCATGGTCTACCCACTGCTGGACGAAGGCTTGCCACAAACTGTCGTGAATCCTTGCGGGTCATGTAATGCCATAACCACGTGGCTCTTGCACAAGCTGTGTTTTAATTTTTCCATCTCCACTTTGGACGTCCCTCGGGAGCGTTTCCTCTTGGCTGCCGCTCTGTCTCCCGCCGTCCCGACTTCTTCTTAGCGACGTGTCCAGCGGGAGAGCCCACTTTTACTTAAGTTCACAATTACATCTCGGTCATTGCACATGTTAAGTGATTCGTGTCCTCTCTCTGTGTAATGCGGTGAAGTTTGCTCTCATACCCCCCCCCTCACCGCCCAAGGGTAATGCAGCCGGCGAAAAGGTAAATATTAATGATAACAGCGATAGCGTGCCAAGTTGAACATCGAGATATGGAGGGTAAACAACACTCAAAACTCCACTCGAGCGGGAAAATTCTGCCAAGCCTGCGTCATCGGAACGACCCGAGGAGCAACAGCGAGGCCCCCCCCCCCCCTCAACAGAGATGGGGGGGGGGGTTGAGAATTCGGTGGCTTTGGGCAAGTCCACGACCTGAGAAGGAATGATGGCCAGTGGGTTTACGAGTGAGAACAGGGCAGCCAAAGGAGAGAGAAGGCTCTCTTAGTGTACGTCCAATGCGGAGATGGAGCAATGAAATTGGCTTGTGTAATATGAGCAAAGGATGGGATTGTTAAAATTGCAAGACCTTAGATGGGGATGGCTTTGGTGGAGGTCTTCACCCAACAGTGGATCGATCGTGGCTGGGGCAGATTTTCGAAATGTAGCCACATCTCAATACGAACGGGACTCGTGTACAACGAAGAGCCACCAAAAATATGCGTAACTTTTTGTTGTATTTTAAGAAACTTGCAGCAGGTTTGTGGTGATTCACCTCGTGCAGTGTTTTGTTAACCTGGGGTGCGAAATGCCCTTTCGGAAGGTAAGTGATTGGAACACGAATTAAGCACGGACACGGTCAGTACAACTATTTTTTCATCAAACCGATGTATTGACATTTTTGTTTTACTACTGAGAAACAAAAGGGTGGAAGGCTGCAGTCAAGGTTATGAAACCACTCGCCTAGCTTATCCCCTACCTGGAGATTCAATGGATTGTCACGAGTCGGAATTTAAATTATTTTAAGCAATCCATTTACGTTGTGAACATTGTTGTAAAAATAGAAGCTCGGGAAACAAACTGTTTACCAGACTCGTGCGTCAATTCCCGTGCAGGACTCTCACGACTCGGCTTCAAAACAAAGACGAGCTCCCGATGAATGTCAGGAACAATACCTTCCTGCACTGAGACAGAATGACCGATAAAGCCTTGTGGATGACCTAACGCAGAAGACCCCTGGGTCTGATCTTCCACGAGGTTCATAGTTTATCCTAGGCCGCATCCACTGCAACAAACCGTGGCAGATGCGGATAACCTGATTGCACAAATGGAAAATTAAAAACTCTCCAGTGTTGTTGTAGTGCGACGGCTGTGCCCATTTAGAACAGACCGTACACCATACAACAACGCAATGCCCCGATCCACAAATACGAAGGAGACATCGCAGCGATCGCACTCCACTGCTCCTTGACGCGGCTATCTTCTGGCTTGACCACCTGAATGGACAATTGTAGTCGTTGCTCTGCGTCTACAGCAGCTCTACGACAGAAGAAGACGACAAATCGAGTCGAGCAGAGCGTCATTCAAAAGTGAGTTCGGAGCCATCTGCGATTTGGCAGGCTGTGTGATTATTTTTTTTGCTGCTGTTATGCTGCATTATATCACGTCCGACGATTCAATCACTCAAGCACTTGGAAGCATATCCAGTTCCTTTATGTGTTTGGAGCATATTCATTTCGTGAATATTCGTTTCGTGCATAAGCTCCCAGCCAGTGGGGCGAAACGTCGGCCATCGTGTCGAACAACGTACGGTACGACCCAAAAACATCGGAGAGCTGACTTTACAGCCTCTACCCTTCCTAACAACAGAGCGAAAAAATACAAAATAAAAATATATATCAGCTCGCACAGTTTAGCTCGGTGGGAAAGAACGGGACGAGCCTGGCTCTGGCTTAGAGCAGCTCGGATTCCATGGCCACAGCCGCAGGCCAAGCCGGATGCCCTCTGTGCCGACGGCCCTGAATCTGCACAAGTGGCGCTGATAGCATCACCATGCACCCATCCATCACCAATCTCACACAGCCCCCAGCCACCACCACCACCACCACGACACACATCGCAAAATGTGGCTGAAATAGGACCCGTAGACGTTGGCCCTTTCGGTCTGGCACCTCTTGCAGAACCAGCGGTAGGGATACAAGGGCAGCCACCCAACGATGGTGATGGATCATTGGGAGGGTGGGACGGGTGGCTAAAAAGAAATGATATTTTCCCTCCGTTGCCCCTTCACCCCCCCCCGCCCCCCTACTCTGTAGTGAAATGACGAAAGAGATGAGGGAAACAGATAGAGATGGAGCGAGATAGCGAGTTGAGAGAGACGATTGCTTCAGATGAGACGGAGTTATAGTGAAATGAAGAGAGATGCCGACACGAGGGGGAGATTGAGGTCCACAAAGAGAGGGATAAATGAGACGTTTCACGTTTATTAATTTCGTGTGTTTATTTGCCTCTTGAATTCGAGCCGATAATCTCTGCCATGGATGGCTGGGGCCCCCTTGAGCTACTTGGGACTCGGTTTGATTGCGTTTCGCGCCACCACTACACCCGCAGTCATGGTTGCTGAGACAGCCGCCTCGATGGGGATAAGGGTAATGATGGGGGGCAGTGGGGGGGGGGGGGTAACTCACAACACACACATATTGTTGGTTCACGTTGAAGGGAAACAATAAAATAATAAAATATATATAAAACAATAAAATTCTCACGACGTTTCGACTGCAACACAAGCAGTCATCATCAGGTGTTATTTTATTGTTTCCTTTCAACGTGACTTTACCGAAAGAACCAAGAATATGAATCACTGCAGTCACGAAAGCTTTAAATCAAAATTTAACACACACACAGTTGCGCAGCGTTGTGTGTACAAACATATCAGCCTTATCCAGACCAACAGCTCAAGAGAACTGAACGTTTGACCGGCGGGGAGTGGTGGTGGTGGTGGGAAGTCTGTCTTTTTTCGGTTAATGCACTGCGCTACCTGAGATACATTTCCAGCCATGTATAGACAACTGAATCGGCATTGACCGGCGTGGTGATGTACAGTGAGGGAAAAAAAGTATTTGATCCCCTGCTGATTTTGTACGTTTGCCCACTGACAAAGAAATGATCAGTCTATAATTTTAATGGTAGGTTTATTTGAACAGTGAGAGACAGAATAACAACAACAAAATCCAGAAAAACGCATTTCAAAAATGTTATAAATTGATTTGCATTTTAATGAGGGAAATAAGTGTTTGACCCCCTCTCAATCAGAAAGATTTCTGGCTCCCAGGTGTCTTTTATCCAGGTGACGAGCTGAGATTAGGAGCACACTCTTAAAGGGAGTGCTCCTAATCTCAGCTTGTTACCTGTGTAAAAGACACCTGTCCACAGAAGCAATCAATCAATCAGATTCCAAACTCTCCACTATGGCCAAGACCAAAGAGCTCTCCAAGGATGTCAGGGACAAGATTGTAGACCTACACAAGGCTGGAATGGGCTACAAGACCATTGCCAAGCAGCTTGGTGAGAAGGTGACAACATATTCTTAGTTTTTTCGGTAAAGTCACGTTGAAGAGAAACAACAAAATAACAAAATATATATAAAACAATAAAAAATTCTCACGACGTTTCGACCATAACTCAAACGGTCATCATCAGGTGTGTTGGTTTGCATAAATGTATTTTTAAACGGCACATTTATTTATTTATAAAAAACGTTGGCGTCATGCGCATCGATTTGGCAGTTTGCCCAGGACTAGTCCATCTATTTTTTTTTTTAAAAGAGGAGGGGGGAGACGAAATTTTTTATAATGTATGCTGTCTGAAAGCCACTGTAAGCGTGAACAATCAATTAAGAACTGAAATGGTTTATCAAATCTTTCCAATGATTGCTAAGATAGAATCCATCTTCTCGGTTGAAATTGTCTCTGTGCTTGTATATGTGGATAGCCTCATGAACGAATCTCTCATGGAAGCCAGATGGCTTACAAAGAACCTCCGTCTTGGAAAAGTCAATGGCATGTGAGCCTACTGAATTAGAACAATGATCTGCTACGGCCGAGGTGTTGGTCATACCGTGTTTAAGGTCTGCTTTATGTTCACGAATGCGGTCCGAGACATGGCGTTTGGTTTCTCCAATGTAACTACTACCACAGAGGCAACTTAGTTTGTAGACACCAGGGTATTGTATGTCCGGAATCACATCTTTTACAGACGGAACCAGATCACGGATTTTATGTAATGTGTTGAAACGGACCTGGATCTTGTGTTTATTCAAGATTTTGTAGATCTTTTTTGTGATCCCAGCAATGTAGGGTAAAGTGATGGTTTTGAAAGGCTCCTCAAGAGGGTTCTTCTTCATGGTTTGAGTGATAGCTTTGCGGATTGTATAGTCGGAGTAACCATTAGCCCTAAGAGCTTGGTGTACGTGCTTGAGTTCACTGCTTATGTGTTCCTGGTCGGATATGCATTGGGCTCTATGATACAGAGTCTTGATGAGAGAATTCTTCTGTGATGGATGGTGGTGGGAATCCGGTTTCAGATAAGCATCCGTATGGGTAGCTTTCCTGTAGACAGAG